AAAGTTATAATACCCTTGTGCACAAGTGCGCTCGGGTATAAAAATAAAAATAGTTGAATTGGCTGCTGTTGCTCTAATTATTTTTTCTTTAACAGCTATATTGTACAGACATCGGTCTGTTACAATTTTTTTACTTTAATTAAATTCTTCTGACTATATACATACATATAGTAACAAAAACTAAAAAAATGATGTTCGATAAGAATCTCCAAAAGAACTGGCTGGATGTCCCGAAATTAACACTTTCAGTATAGATATATTCGAGATACGGCTGGAATGAACCACGTAACTGCGGCGCCAATTGAAATAAAAAAATATAAATAAATTTGTAAGTGATTGTAGAGAAAACTTTATGAAAATGTTGGGGGCACCTCCGTTCCTTTTTTCTTCTCCATAGTCTTTTTCTACTCGCCTTCATCCATTTTCATAGTTTCTCATTCGTCTTTATTGGAAAAATTTGCTCAGTGAATTCCGTCATTTGTGTAGTTCAAGTAGATTACGATATCGAGAAAGATACGGACAATTATAAAAGGCGGCGAAAAAAGAACTTTTGAAAATATTTGCGAATCAAAAAACTACTTTCACATATTTTGATGGGTGTATTCGAGATTTTTTTGTTTATATCCGTTCGCCGTTATTGGCAGAAGAGTCGGAAGAAGGGAAGAATTCAGGAACTCAGCAGCTTCAGGCAAATCCCGAAACAATGATTGTGGATGTGGATACGGCTGAAGCTGTGACGCAGGCCTAGGAAGATGCACTCGTCATTGCAGAATTCCTTGCTAAAGGTGGAGGCCTTCAGTGAACAAAAGAATGATTCGGCTAGTACGTATTTTGCTCTGGTCATTGGAAAATCAATGGCTCATGTGGAGAAATGGCTTAGACCGAAAAGGAAGAAGATGCTGGCACTCTAAGTTAGGAAACCTTGATGACTTCTAGACTCAGTGAGGTTATGATTTCCCGGCGTTCGGAAGAGGTAGATTGGTGAGGTATTGCGAATATTCAAAAAAGATAATTCCCCCCATTTTTGGTTGCCGATTTTCCCAACTATATTGCTGGAAGATTCCAAGGAAAACACCTAATTTTTCTCTTATTACACAGTTGCCTATTGGCTGTGGTTTTAAGGCTTTTCCATTTCAGAACTCGAAAGCGAAGTGATTGACTCGGTTTTTCCAAATTGGTTTCCACCGGTCTTTTTTTGATAATTATAGGCATTTTTTTTAATCTTGATTTTTCGAATATCGAAAAAACCGGATTTTTTTTAACATACAAACCTTTTTTTCATTTTCTACAAATATTGGCCTCTCAATTAATGTTTTGAGTTTTTCAAAGTTTTCAAGCCAGTTTCCAGTTTAAGGGAAGCCCCTAAATAGTATTAAAATTATATTTTAGGTTATCTGGGGATGAACAGTATATAATATTTGATTCCAATAAATGAATGTTTGGCTATAAAGCGTTTTCTGCGTGTTTGGCCGAGCTACTTCTTTTCAAAATAAAAGCTATTTATAGTTTTATTGCAATTTTTGGTCATTCATTTTGGACTTCATACCAACATAAGAATTTTTACTGTATGAAAGCTATGTAAAATAAAACCGGTTTATCCGCAGTCGAAAACCGGTTTTAGAAAAATGCGAATAATCGAACACTCTAGTACATAGATGAGGCCAATAAGTTCAGCTGCCAGGAAAAAACTCTCTTCCAGCGAGTAAAATTAATACATAGTCTAGGAATAAAATTAATACCCAAAAAATAAGTCTGGTAGCTTTTACGCTGAAAGAAGAAAGTAACGGGAGATCCCAAAAGAGTAAAATAATAACAAAACAAATAAAACATAAAACCAAAAGTGTTTCGTGAAATAAAATTACAAAAGTGAGAAATTTTATACCATCTTCTTCATTTACTTATTAGAATACATTAAAGGCAAACACATATTAAAAAAATTCTTATTTAAATGCTATGTGGGTCGAATACACAGCACTCGTCTTTATAATTATTGTTGTTGTGCTTATTATATGCTTCATCATTGCTACCATCCGAAGAGCTTTGAGTGAACAAAATGCAATTTTTCCAAATCAAAGTATGGAAATGAGAAGATTGCGAACGAGAAGTGTGGAAAATGACCAGCAGAATGGAGAAATTAATGGAGGCGTATACGTTGCTCTCATTTCGGGGCCAATTATGCAGCCAAATATTCGACAAAATGGCATTCCAAACTTACTTCGAAATGCGAATGCAAATGCAGAAGCCATTTTAGGGGCAAACGCTATTCCAAATGTAGCTCCAAATGTAGATCAAAATCTATTTCCGACTACTCGACCAAGCGTTTGTCCAATTCTAGAAAAAAATACCAATTCCATTGCTGCATCAAACAATGGCTTAGATGGAACTTCGACCGATGGTGCAGGTCCATATGCTGGATCGAATGCAGCTGTGGTCGTAGAACTAAACACTACTTCAAACTCCTTTCCAAATGTTTATCCGAATCTATGGCCGCAAGCCGGCTCAATTGTAGAATTGAATGCAGCTCTGATTGTTGGACAAAACGCTGATCTAAGTGCAGGCTCAAATGGCGGACTGAATGCTCAGACTTTTCGACCAAACGCAGAACGAAAGCCTCGGGATATTATAGCAGACCATTATTTTACAGAAACTGCCATTTAACATAACCAAACAAAATTTACAAGCTGATGGATTTAAAATTTTGCTCAGCAAAACGAATGACTCAAGCTTGGCTTCCCAACTGGGTTGCTTGCTTCATATATATACATATGTATGCATGTATGTGTATGTACATATTTGTTTTTTTTTTAAATATTCTTTCGAAATATCAGATGTATGTAAACATACAACTTTTTTGAATTACGTACATATTT